TTTAATAAAATAACCAGTGGCAAAATTTGACTAAAACCTTTTGGAACCATCTTCCCTTTTGCTGACATTCTAAAATCTGGCAGAAATGCTAATTTGCAATATAGAATTAAAATGAAAGAAAACTTTTGTGGCCTGGAAAGGTACGTTTAAAATATTTTATTCAACCATCAAATACAGCACACTAGCTTAGTGACGATGAGATTTTATAAAATCTGATTTTTTATAACAATTATCTGAAAGGCTTTGAGGTCACTAAAAAAGGAGTACCATCTTGGGATTTCATTCAGCTATAAATTCTGGAGGATCAGTTTATTCTGTATTATGATGTCACACGTGAAATACGGCAATAGAAGATCTGGCTTCAAATAACAAATGGGCTACTAGCCAGTTGTATGCCTTTAAATTCTTTTCCCCAACTTTGAACACTGGGAAATTAGGGATATTCATACCTACTCCTTTCCACACTGCTTAAGATCCATGAGCTAATCTATGTGAACAAAATTCCTTATGAGCTTGGAGTTTCATTAGTTCCAATTATCATTATTAGGATGATCACTATTATATTTGGCAAATTTTCTGTCTAGTTCCTAGTCTGTTTCAACTCTTTCAGCATAGATGATTGTGCAAGAAATAATTTGTTTTGAATGGCTACAGGAATGTTTATAGAATATGTTGAGATCTAAGACTAACTTTCAAAGCATTTAACATTTTCCTATATGTTCTTTGTGTTTATTTGGCATGTGTATAGTTATACATACATATATTAGGTACTATAAAAACAAAACAAAAGACAGGGAAGATTCCAAGGTGAACGTTTTTCCTGTATACTATAGTTGGCCTCAAACACTCATACTCTCTTTCTTACCTGCTCTGGTGACCTTCTGAATTAGTTTCAGAGAAACAACCAGAGGTAGTAGCGGTAGCAAGACAGCAGCTGGGACCATACGGATCTCAGCATCCTGCCTTATGGCCATTATCTTTGTTTCTATCTTTATGCTGCCACTATATCTCCTTCTTGTGCTCTCCCTGCGTCCTCTCCTCCCTGCCTCCTCCTCTTCCTGACTCCAGCTCCCATGGCTCCCTATAACTTACCCATCCTCCTTCCTCGTTTTTCTCTATTGATACAAGATGAAACAAGATTCCCTAATTAGGAAAAATTTTTTAAACATATTTTTGACGTGTGTGTAGCTGTGCAACTACCATACCCTAATTCCCATAACCACCATTAACAATAGAAGAAAAATATTATTTTTGTATACATTATCAATTAGAGCGTATTAGATTGTAGTCCCCTTAAGGGCTGAAAAAATAGATATTTAAAATAAATGCAACAATTTTCTCATTTTTCTACATAGGATTAGGTTGTAGCTGTAATAAAGGATAATTTGAGGCTAACGACAAGAAAGAATAGTGAGTAATATCCTTCCCCCCGTCCCCAACTGCTGAAAATGAAAATCATGTCAGCATCAAGTCATTTTTGCCACATCCCTTGTTAACAGCTTTTTCAGGGTGGGTCATAATTCTGTGTTTTTGTTAGTGTCTTAACTCCATAGTGACATGCTTAAATCTTATTCCGCATTGATTTTGTAGTATATATGTGTATATTTTTAGGCTATCTCATGAACGATGGATCTCATTATTAAGTTATTATCAACTTTGTCAAAAAATGTATAAGCTTTGAATGAAGAATAAATGTACTAATATGAGACGGTTAATAATTGATTTTTCTGTTTGGTAGATGTGTATGGTGTGTCATTGTGTATGTCTCAAAAAGTAAACTTACTGTCTGCCTGTCGCCAGAAGAAAAAAAGTGGGACCTAATCAAACTGCTGTGGGGTCAACCCTTGTGGTTTTAAAGGCCCTTAATGTTGTCCAGCTGCAAAATAAAAGGAATTGGGAGGGGAAGTTGGAAGGAGTGGAGGGGGTTGGGGGGAGGAATGTGTGGAAAAGAACAGGGAGTCTGGCTTTTATTTTTTTTTTAAGTGAGTTCAGTGCCAGCCTGGACATTGGCTGTACAGACTATTGAGCCATTGTCTGCTCCATTTCCAGAATAGCCCCCAGTTAATCACTTCGGCTTTGAAGGGAATTTCCTCGTGGAATTCTCCACAGAAAATCTAATCAACTGACCTGCCCTCTCAACAATGGAAGGCTTTTTTTTCCTCTCTTTCCCTTATTGGGGCGGGCTCTGTAATGTAGCCTTTTGTGCAGAATGAACCCTCCCAGTAGGAGTGGAGAGCCTGTGTGAGTGACTGAGTGTGTGTGTGTGTGAGCGTGTGTGAAGAATGCACACTATCTCATGTTGGTGAGTGTGTGCTTACTCCCTGACCAGATGCTGCGGTGCACGGGGCAGCCACCATCTCTGCATGCACGTCTGTGTAAGTGTCTCTCTCTGTGTGTGTATGTGCCTCTGTCATTTCATGTCAAAGGTACATTACCTGATTACCTCCCTCGCCTGCCAGATTTTTATCTAGATAATTGGAACTGCTATGGAGGCTGTGCCTTGCCAGCCAGCTTAGGATCTGTAAAGCCATAGTTTGTCCACCTTGTTATCTGTGGCTGCCTGGGCAGAGGAAATTAAAGAGATCCACAGCCAGGGGAGCGCTTCCTACCCCTGACCTCCCCAGCGATCCCAAACAGGACAGTTTGTTAGTACCATCTTTTTGTTTTTATTTTCCGGTTTGGTTTTGCGTTTTTGTTCGCGCGCGTGTGTTATTTTGGCATGTGGATACCTATTCCCCTGCACATCGCGCATCGTGTTTTATGGAGTTTGGAGCTGAGGAAACTTTGGTTGGGTTGCCAGGACGTTCGCACCACTTTGTGGAAAGCACGAGCTAACAGTGAGACCGACAGAGTGAGTGACAAGTTGTTTACAGGTTTCCTTGAAGGGGCCTCTGCTATATTTCAATCTGTCAAAGTTGCTTTTCTTCCCTCAGAACAATGCCTGATTGTTGTATGAGTGTGAGTGTGTGTGTGTGTGTGTGTGTGTGTGTGTTTCCGTGTGCGCACGGAGAGAGCCTAGAAAGGGGTGAGAAGGAAAAACAATTCTTTGTGTAAAAATGCTATTACTAACATTTAATTTTTTTGCTTAATTAGTTCGTAAATGCAGTTTAATCTAATCGGGGTTCTGTTATTACACAGACTTCATTTTTAATCCGTAGCAAATACATTTTACAAAATCGTACTGTTTTGTGTGTGTGTGTGTTATGTGTGCGTGGGACTTTTATTATTTAGAAGAGAGTATGGGAGACGTGTTAAATGAGTTGACTTCTCACATTCGGTGATGTCTAGAAGAGAGAATTAAAAGGAAAGGACAGGCACCCTGAGGTTGTCTAATGCCTTGCAGCCGGAGCGTGCGGCTCTGCGGAGGGGGGAGCGGCCAGACCCCGCTGCTGGAAGTGCGCTACCCCTTTAAGAGACTGGTCAAGGAGTCCTAGGAGAGGGAGAGGAGGGGAAGGGGGGGGAGAAAGAGAGAGAGGGAGAGAGAGAGAGAGAGAGAGAGGGACAGAGGGAGAGGGAGAGAGAGAGAGAGAGAGAGAGAGAAAATCAATTGGTTTAGAAGGTTTGGACTCACTTGACAGGTTCAGTTGGAGACGATCATAGGTGGCTGCTGTGACAAAGGGAAATTGTGCTTTTCCAGCATGCTTACTGACCCTGATTTACCTCAGGAGTTTGAAAGGTGAGTACAGTTTTTTCCCCCTAATATATTGAAGTACAACTCTCCCATTTTACAGTAGTCTCTGAATCATTGGAAGATGCTTCCCCAAAACGTGTTTGTGAGAGAAGCTTTCAGCTAGGGCTTCTGCAATCTTGTTAGCTGATTTTTGTTGTGGTTCCCCGGACCAAATTGAACTGATTTGCAAAGTCTCTGAGATTTCTGCTAATGTTTTTAGGTTGCGTCCTATAACAGGAAATTAAATGAACATTAAGCATCTCTCTCTCCCCCACTCGCTGCTGCTTTTCTCTTCCTCATTCACTCTCTTACTTTCTTCCTTCATTGATTGTTTTCTCCCCTTCTACACCTTCTAAAAACGCTTTCGTGCAGAGTGTTACCATGTTCAGCATCTCTCTCCTGTAATTTCTAGGGTGACAGAAGGTTTTAGTGGTGGTTTAAAGAGGCTATAAGTTCCTATTTGATCTTTCCGTAAAACTTTGGAAGCTGCTCAGTAAAGCACATGACCTTTTGTTGATATAAGAGAGCAGTTTTTTTCCAAAGAAAATGTAACATAGTAGCTATATATTAGTAGATTACTCTTGAAGTGTCAGAAATAGGGGGGAAAGGGTGGAAATGAGGCTGCTCCCTTTCCAAGTTTTAGTGACCACTTTTTGTGCTAGCTGTCTTAATTTAATTTTGATTTACTGTTATTTTTCCCTTTTGCTTTGATGGGAATAAATGTATTTGCAATTAAGTTGTTCTGTTTAGAGAAGTATGTGCAACATCTTTCCATTTGATGTTGTTGCAAGTAAAGCAGGGCTTTGAAAAAATTTTAGCCCTCTTAATGTTCCTATAAGTACACATTGCAATTTTTAAATTTGAGTTCTTATCCCAGCATAAGTTCTTTTTTTGAACTATAAATAGAATTTTGTTTGCCATTAAAAAGAATTCAAACTTTGTATTCTGTATGGTGAATTTAAAAAAAAAAAGCTAAAAAAAGCCAGGATGCATGATACCCAGGCTTTTTTTCATTTTCATGAAAGCTACCTTCTGTATAAACATTTGTTGTATCTGACTATGCAATGCAAGCTAGGTGCTAGACCAGCTGGTTAAAAATATGCTAAGTCAAGCTGTTCATCGCTCAAACGACTGAATTTGATATGAAAAGACGAAAAAAGAAAGGACAAAGATTAAAACATTCTAGAAGTGAAGCAATGGAAGAGAAAAAGAGTACTGAGAATAAAATAACGCCCGAATGTGGTCACATATTAGAGAAGTCAATATCACATCAGAGAAGAAAGTAAAATAGCCAACATATATACTTTAATACTATCTTCTTTCTTTCTTTCATTTCCTCTTCTTTTTTTTTTTTTTTAAATTAAGGTGCATCCTCACTAAATAATTCCAGTGAATGATTGAGCTTTCTTAACACTTTTGAATTAATTTTTTCAAAGTTCTGTGTATTAACTCTTTATATTAGTTACCTTTTATTTGCAAATATAGCCTTATTTCGTATGTAGATACTGAAGTTATTCATAGTGGAACACACTATTTCCTAATGTAGCAATTTGTTAATTTAACACAGTTAAGTTTTTTAGAATGCACAGAATAGCACTTAAATGATATTCTTTAATTGTAATTATACTTTTTGAAAATAAAACTCTGAGGCTGATTTGTAAGGCTGTTAACAGATTGTACTTATAAAAAGGTAGTTACATATTAACAGGCTGTAGCCTATTTCTCTATATAGGCAAGCTTCCTGCTGTGAACTTTATTTGTATTTTTTCAATTATCTCTTTTTAAACTCAACTTTTCCCTTTCCTATTCTGAGGCTCAGATCTCTTAACATGTTTTTTTCCTCCTGGTGGGAATCTCATTTTTTGTCACCCAGAGGCATGCTGTTCTAACTGGCTAATTAAATAAGCAAGTGATAATCAATAGGGTTATTAGTATGGACATCATATTTAGAGATATTAGTGGCTAAAATAATTTTGAAAAATGTCATACAATATAAAATTTCTTAATAATTTCCCCTGTGGTTGTAATTGGTAATACATACAAAAATCTCAGTAAATCATTACTATTTGTTTACATTGAATTTGTACGGGTGAGTGTATCTATAGTCACCCATGCATGATAGAGTATATCATGCAGACACAACATTGAATGTATTCTCCAAAGGAGATATATGTGATGTAACTGTACTCTCATGTATAATCAGCTTTTTTTTTTTTTTTTGCCTTTTCAACTATTTGCAACTTTCGTTGAATAAGTAGGTCATTTCTATTGAATGCTAGTTTTTATTCTATTTGCTCACCTGCAATAGATGAGTTTTCCTTTTCACTCAGACTTCGAAATATGAAAAGAAGATTTCTAAATTTCTTTATGAAATAGAGAACTTTGGTCTCGAAGACAAAAATAAGTTGCTTGGGGTTCATGCATTATAAAAGTTTTATGTGATCTTTTTTTTTCTAATTTCATTGGTAGAGTCTTGTCCATTTTTTATTATTCTTTCCAACCTGTAGACTATTTGAACTTTAAGGAATATTCACAACTTAAATATCAGGCTCAAAATTTAGATTTAGATTTGTATATGTCTGTATTATCAGCCCTAGAAATGAACATGGTCAATAATCTTAGACTAATAAACAGTTGTTAAATAGTTAAGAAGTAGTAACAATTTCATTGTTAAAAAATGTGGAGGAGGTAGAGCAAATAGAACAGTAATTCTAAAAAGTAAAGAACTTGAAATATTTCATTTTTATTTTCAAGCGTCCCTGTCATAACTGATTATGGTTACTGAAAAACACAATTCTCAGGTGGGAGGCGAATAGGTAAAGTATGTTCTAAAGAATTATTTGTAAAGAAAGTCTTTTATATCTTACTGTTTTGAGGAAACATAGCTGGCAACATGGTCTAAATGTTAGTAATAGCATCATTAGAATGAATGCCTAAACTCTCCTAAATTTTTTTAAGGAATCAATGAATTTATATATTTTGCTGAAGGTAAATAATGAATGATTGTGACTTAAGGTTATCTTTTGAAAATATCACCTATTTTTTTGTATTCCTGGAATGAAAATATTTAAAATATTGCCTTAAATTTCAATATCACTTTGTTTATAGTGAATAAAAATAGCAGTTTTTGATAGTTTATCAATGGTGTATTCTATTTTTCTTTTTTATTTATATTGGTCCTATTTGATTGTAATATAATAGTTTTATGACTAAACTACTTGTTACACTTTCTAATTGCTTTATGTTAGAGACTTAATTAAAAAGCAAGTGTAGGATGATTGCTGAGGAAGACAGTCTGATAGTGTGTAGAAAGGAAAAAAAAGTTGGGATTGAAGGTAGTGGGATGAAGCAAGTTAAGTTTATAGTATCATCTTGCTTCTCCAAAATTGGTGCAGATGACAGCATATTTTCTAGATGTTGACTGGAACACTGTAAGAATAAAACCTGCAATAAAAATTAACTCCACTCTTTTACTTTATGTTCCCATCAAATTTATTTCTGGTCATACTGATTAAGAAATAATTTTTGTTCTCATAAGAAAACTTTTCAGTGTTTTTCTGAAGAAAGAAAGACACACCAGGTACTGTGAAAAACTAATTTGTAAAATTCCCAGTAAAAACTACTGCTAGAGGTTTGCAAGAATATCTGACATTAGTGGTATTTTAGTTACCTAAAGTTTGACCATAGCAATAAAATATTTATTAT